ATTCTAACCATATTTTTATCGTGCCTACACTAGCTTATAGATATAGAGAGAATGAAAGGATTCTGATTTACTCAACCCAAACCACCTTGGTCGACCATCTCTGTTCTTCTCTTTCTTTTGTCCCCTTCCGTCTCTGTTCTTCTCTCTCTCCGCATTTCTCTCTCTTTTACTCTCTGCCTCGCGAAAAAGGTCAGATATGGAGACATACTATACTATACAGTCTACATAGAAAAGCTGCCTAAACTGTACAGATTTGTGGGGACAATAACATATAGCTGAGTCTAGTTACAAAAACAAAAAGATCATACAGGTGAGAGCTGACCCAAAAAAAGAAGAAAAAATTGACCCAAAAAAGAAAAAAAAGTCTACTTCCCTTCCTTGGTTACAAGACACCGTTTGAGAAGTTGATTATTTTAGTGAATTATTTTTAGTTTTAGTTAATTTAATTAATTAAAATATTTGTATTTAGAATTTTTTTTTAAAAATTTATAATTAAATGTAATGTTTATAAGAAAAAGTATAGATTATGAATTTGATATGATATTTTATTTATTGACTATTTTAAAATATTTTATTTTATTTTATATTTTTTGTAAATTTTAACCAAAAAAAAAGGACAAACTTTACTTTACTTTACTCTCTTCTATACTCTCATATGGTTTGAGCCGAGTGTGGTTTACACCCCTGACATTTAGAAATCACCACATAACCCGCGTGGTTGATGGACTAAAACGCAGATTAACTTTTGTTAACAGAAATTGTAAATTGACAATTATTCCCTCATACATATATTATTTCAAGAAAAACCCGATTCTTTCTTTCTCCATCTTCATCTTCATCTTCTTCTCTCTCCATTTCAAACTTTATATGTATACATACATATACATATACATATACAATCTCATAATCATCTTCATCTTCATCTTCTTCAACACCTTTATTAAAACCCATAATAATCACAAACATTTTCTTGGTTCTCTACTTTTTGGATCAAAGCTAAAGAAGGGTTCAGAGAATTAGGATTGTCCCATTAAATTTAATGATGTAATATCCAATAATATACATATATATATATATATATATATATATATATATAAAGGATAATCTAATTATTAATTGAGAAATTATACAAACAATTTTTAGTTGTATTTGCCTCTTATTCGAACCAAAATGGGATCAAGAAAAAGTTTGATTGGGTTGTATATATATATACATATATATAAAAAGTTTGATTTAGAAGTTATACAACTAAAAAAAAAATATATAGTTTGATTCATAAGTTATAAAACTAAAAAAAAGTTTGATTGGGTTGTGTACGGGAAAGAAATATGCCTTCTCGTATAATCCTGTTGACCAAGTCCACACTCCTCCGTACGACGTCGCTTTATCACCTGAAAACACAAACGTGAGCTAGCCGGCGGGTGTGTGCCGGAAACCTCTCCGATGCCTAAGTCAGACCCACCATTCTTCTTCTTCTCCCTTCTTTTTCTTCTTCCTTTTGCAACAAAAACACAGGAAAAAAGAAAAAAAAAAACCCCCTCCAAAAAAAAAAAAAAGTTTTGAAAAAACCCCCTAGATATAGTAATAAAATTATAAATATTTTAAAATTATATAGGTTCGTCACCCCAAAGTTTTTGCACAAAATTTAAGAACCGCCACTCCCTAAATTTTATACTTTAAAATTTAAAAATTTATTTATTTATTTGATAAATACTAATACTAATAATAATAATAATTTTTTTTAAGTATGATTACTTTTTTATTTTAAATTTCATAATGTTAAAATAATTGAGAATTTATTTGTTAATATGTTAAAGTCCTTTTTGTCTGATTAGGGCCCAAATTTTTTAGTTGTTTGCTTATAACTAAATAAAAAAATAAAAAAAAATGATTACTCTCAATCATATGTAGACAACATTAGCCTACCTAGAGCAGTCATTATATATTCAAAACAAAGAAACTTTTATTCTCTTTCTTATTTCACAACTAGTGAACCAAAATCATCAGAACCAATGACCCAAAACACAATCTCTTTCTCGTGCATCGTGAGTCTTCCGGCGTTCAAGATCGTGATTCCTCCTATAGTACTCCGATACACATTCTCTCTCTCTCTCTCAGAGTTGGGGTTTATTTGGGAAAAAAAAATTGGGTTTATTTGGGAAAAAAATTGGACTATGAACTTTGTAATTCTGATAATGGAACCATTTGTGTAATTTCTCAGTCAACTATTTATACTTTCGTATTACATTTCTAATGTCAACTATTGAGCGCGACTTTAGATGCCTAAGTAGATATGTAAAGCAAATAATTGTTTTTTTGCAAATTAATATAAATTTACTAAAACATATCAAATTGTATATTGATAATATTTTGTAATTATATACGATGAATGAAAACATCTAATTATATATTTTTGTGATAGTTGGGTAGAAATTAATATTGTATATCACATGCTCGTTACAAATTTTTTAATTGCATATACACTCGCTCCCCCGACATTAGAATCCTGCGTCCGTCCTTGGCAGTAATGGTGTGATGGATATAGGTGGTGGTTTGAGGGGAGGAGAGAGAGAGAGAGAGAGAGAGAGAAGAGGTGGTGAAGAAAAAGAAAGTTGAAATAGAATGACATCTTTTGTAAATCTGAAGAGATAAAAGGGTATTTTCGTCATAAAAATGGATCCACTCTCTATAGAGGCGTTTGACTTTCACATTTTATTATCTTAGACAGAAAAGCTAGCTGTGCATTTTAGTCCATCAACCATAAGGGGTTTATGTGGTGATTTCCGAATGTTAGGAGGTAAATCGCACTCGACCCAAATCATAGGGGATAAAGTGAAGTTTGTCCTAAAAAAAAATCTAAACTTGAACTTCCCAAACACCATGTCAAACAAATTATCATGTGTTAAAAAAAAAAAGAAAAAAAAAAAGAAAAAAAAAAACAAAGGCTTATTATCATATCAAACAAAGGGTTGTTATCGGGAAAAATGTTTGGAGAGTTCTAATTGACCATCCCTCAATTTATTTTAAAATTTTATTTCATTAAAGTATTTATTTTTATTCATTTTTTTGTATTTATATAATTTTTGAATTTTTTTTTAATAAACAGTACTTAAAAAATTAAAAAAAGTGATGTCAAATCTATCAAAAAAAATGATAAACAATTGAATAACTAATGAATTGTTGAGATGGTGCAGTAAAATTAACCGAAAACTAGTTTAAAAATAATTTGTTGAGGTTGATGGATCAAGAATTTGTAATTTGTTAATTATATTTAACCAAAAATTACATTCGGTGAGGCTAACATGGATGCACTAAGTTTGGTTGAAGGATTTGATTAAAGAAATATAAACGGAAAAAGAAATACAATCTAACTTTTTTTCTTTTTCTTTTTTGTTTTTTTGTTTTTAACAGAAAACACAAAAAAAAAAAAAGAAAAAAAAAAAGAGGTGAAAACTCACTTATGTGTCCAATACTCAAAGAAAAATCCTTTTGCGTGGCCCTACTGTATTCGAGTTCATATATATGGCTGATATTTGGATTTGGTTTTGAATATGGACTTAAATTTTCATCTTAAACAACGCTATTCAACTCACAATTAAAAGAGCAATGATTCTAAGCCAAAAAATCAGTCCCAAACAGACTAAGATGGTTGTTGCCTGTTGGGTAGAGATGGAAACCACTAAATTATCATTGAATTAAATATTCCAATCACCTCCAACTTTCACACCGGTTTATCATTTAAAAATATGATCAAAACAAAATAAAATTTATCAAGGCATTGAGTTAGACAATTCCTCGTGACAAGTACATCCTTGTGTGAATATATATTGCAATAGTCTCATTAATTAGTTTGTATGTTTCAACTACACACATATTCATCGGAGTGGTAGTCACAAGATTGATGGAGCTAACTTGATACAAACAATTTATCTAGAAGGTTATAAGAGTTGCCTAGGGAGGAATGCATAATAGTTGTACATGTCACATGAAACATATATATTTGTCCAACTAATATTAATCACTTATACAATTTAACAAGATGGGTTTTGCCATTGAGATATGTTTGATGAGCTGTAAATAGTCTTCAATTCTTTTTTTTCTTTTTCTTTTTTTGTCTCCAACTAAAATGAAAATAAGAGCGATTAATACATGATAATTTGCTAATCCGACGCACAAAGGCAAGGATTTGGTCCATAAATTTGTGAATCCAATGACTTTGTCAATGCCAGACTACTTCTTAAACCTACTTTCGAATATTTTCTGTCCTTTGATGAATGGACAGATGGGTTTAGAAATACATGCATCAAAATGAGTGAATCATATTCAAGCCTCCTAATTAATTGCCAGCAGCTAAATATTCGCTTTGAAACTCATTTAGTTTTAGCAGCAATTTCCTATATTCAGCAAAGGAATATCAAATAAGGGTCTCATTGGTTGCAACAACAATTATAGTCCACCCCCAATCTCTAATTAAAAAACAAACAGACCTTCACCTTTATCATTTTTTTAAATCAAGACTTGTCTCAAATTCTTAACCAAACTTCTAGTATGAATTTGGTGAATTGTGTGTGGCTTGGGTTAGTTCAAATCAACTCCCAAATGACCTTAATGCTGTGTTTGGTTGGGGTTTTTGAGGTGGGATTTGGAAAATGAATGAGAAATGTAATCCTATTTATGTTTGGTTATAATAAAAAATATATGGGAAAAGAAATGGGGTGATTTATAACCAACACAACCAAACATAGTTGGGATTTGGAATTCTATTAATTCTTTCTCATTTTCCTTTCATTTCCATTTCCCTTTCCATTTCTCTTCCCAAATCTCCCAACCAAACACAGCGTAAATTTATCTGTCTACGGATTTGACAAAATTGGGAACTAATCCAAAGTAGAGCATGTTCAGAGTGGAGTTGGATGATCAATTATGGTCAAACAAACAAAGCCTAAATTAAATCATCAGTTTAATAAAATCAATAACGCAACACATTTCAAAAGAGGGCTAGCATAATATATATAGATAAATCTGTAGCATTACTTAAATCTCATGCCAATAGAAGAACAAAACAGGGCAAGCCTTTCGGAGTTGGGCATATAACAAGGAATATCACACATCTAGTTGACTGTGCAACAAAACTACCTATATATGCATACGATTCCTACTACAGGATATATGTAACCATCATCTATTGGCTATATAGTTATAAACAGACCATAAGGAAAATAATAGAGTGAAGAGGCAAACAAGCAGGAGCAATTAATCCCCCCATCCACAAGTGCATGGTAGAATCTTACTCCCTCCATCGCGAGTCGCAGCCCCATCAGTTCTGCATTGCCAAAACAAGAAACATTATAATAACGAAAACAATTGACAAATGAGTGGGTGGATTGATTTCTCTCTCTATTGTTTTACCCCGTTATATTGAACTAAAACACCGAAAATTTGGAAAAACATTTTACCTGGATTCTTGTAGCTGTGAAATAGCCACCAATAGATTCATAGACAGATTTGAAAAATCTGCCAAGGACCTCATCAGCATCCAAAGGAGGAGAGAGCACTGCTATGATTGCAATCACGGTAGGGCAAATGCATAAGCAAGCCCCCACATAGTTCTTAACTCCTACAGCTTCAACCATGAATCGCAGAAAAGAGCCAGCTACTTCTTCAAGTATTTTCATCTCATCGTGCCTTAAAAATATCTCCACTTTGACAATGATGATAATGGAGAAGGCTATCAGCATAATGAGAGGCAAGTAGAGCTTGTCTTTGGTGTCTTCAACCACCAACCAGACGGCCTGGAGAAGGAGGCTGACCAGAAATTTCAGCGGTAAAAGGCTGGTCTCACCTACCATCGATGAGGGGTAGGTGAAAAGCTCCCTCCAATGGCGCAAGATGGGAAGGTAGCAGGCTACAAAGACAACAGCATACATGGCAAGAGCCATAAGAATCAACAAGAATGCATATGATCTTCCTGATAAAAGCTCCATCACTTGCTCCACACCCAAACCAAAATTCCAACACGCAAGCCCTAACATTCCGAGAATAGAGAAGATGAAGCTCTATTGTGGTTCTTCTCTTTGATAGTGTCAATATGGGCATTCATCTTCACATCCTCTGTTCTCGGCATGCTACAGCTTGTGTGCTGGAGTTTTGATTTGACCGTGGAAAGTGATGGAGCTTTTACCAGGAAGATCGTATGCACTCTTGTTGATTCCTCTGGCTCTTGGCATGTATGCTGTTGTCTTTGTAGCCTGCTACCTTCCCATCTTGCGCCATTGGAGGGAGCTTCTCACCTACCTCTCACCGATGGTAGGTGAGACCAGCCTTTTACTGCTGAAATCACTTGTGTATATCTATATAGAGAGACTAGAGAATGAGAGAGACAGAGACGGAGAAGATTCAGATATACTCAAGCCAAAACACCTTGGTCGACCATCTCTGTTCTCTTTCTTTTGTCCCCATCCATCTCTGTTCTTCTCTTTCACTCTCTCTCTCTCTCTGCCTTGAGAGAAATTGTACAGATTTGTGTAAACCCAAAACACATCACTGTTCTTCTCTTTCTTTTGTCCCCTTCCATCTCTGTTCTTCTCTCTCTCTGCGTTTCTCCCTCTTTCACTCTCTCTCTCTCTCTGCCTTGAGAAAAAGGTTGGATATGGAGAGATACTATACAGTCTATGTACAGATTTGTGGGGGGAATATCTTATAGCTGAGAGCTGACCCAAAAAAAAAAAGAAGAAAAGGTATAACCAAAAAAGAAGAAAAAGTAAAATCACCTACGAAAAAAGAAAAGAAAGAAACCAAGAAAAAAAAAAGAACCAAGAAGAAAAAGAAAGAGAAAAGAAGAAAAAGAAAAAAAAAAGTCAACCATCAAGCCAGGGGCATTCATTGGAATAAAATCCAATCAACTACGATCCATTGGAATGAAGTCCGAGTAACTATGAGAAAATGAACTTTTGTTTGAATTGGAAGCCAATGCGAGGAAGTATTACATTGTGAGAAGAACCAACTCTGAAAATGAAGCACAAGAAAGTTAATTCAAAATCTCTCAATTCATTTTAAAATTTTATTTTATTAAAAAATTTACTATGATTTGTTTTTTGTATTTATATAATTTTTAAATATCTTTTCTATAAATAGTACTTAAGAAATTAAAAAAAAGTGAGTTATTAAAAAATAATAAAATAATAACTTGGTGAGGTACTATAACAAAGTTAACCAAAAATTAATTTTGAAATAATTTGTTGATGTTGATCAAGTAAAAATTTAAGATTTGCTAGTTATATTTAACTAAAAATTACATTTGGTAAGGCTAATGTAGAGGTTCTGAGTTTTGTTGAAAGATTTGATGAGAGAAACATAAACGGAAAAAGAAATACAATGAAACTTTTTTTTTTTTTTGGGTTTTAATAGGAAACGCAAGGGAAAAAAAGTGAGAAAAATGCATGATCACTTTTTTTTTTTTGAGTTCTCTTGAAAAAAAAAATGTTAGAGATTCTAAAATTTTTACCAAATGTTTCACATGAATATGAGACCCACACGAGAACTTACATTGTATGGATCACACATCCATGTAAGCCATTTAATAAAAATTTTAGTAAAATTTTTGGGATCTATAGCATTACTTTTTGGCTATTTTAGCCTGCTGTTAAAAGGTTTGGTTTGGGACAGGATTTTTGATTTTTTTGACTTTTGTGAGAAAAAAAATGAAATGATTATGGGTTAAATGTGATATTTTGTTATATTTGACTAAAATAACATATTTTGTCTTATATGACTATTTTAGCCTAAAATGTTATGCCAACAAACCCTTAGGCTCTTTTTTGTTTTCATTTCCCAACTTAACCAAACATATATTAGAATTTGAATCCTATCAATTCTTTGTCTTTGCCTATTTATTTTTATTTCTCTTTCCACTTTTTTCATCAAATCCTTCAACTAAATATAGTGAAAATGCCAATCATTAGAATATGGTTACGTCTGGTTTGAAAATTATCTATTTTAATTATTTTTGGAATAATTATTGATAAATCCCATTTAGAAATGTTTTAACCCAAAAAATTCATGAAGAAATTTATTAACTCATTTAGTCCTATGTATGTATAGTTTTATCCCATAAAGTCTTTTTTCTTAATTTACACTCTTTTTTTAGACACTTATGCCCTTATATTTAATTTTGATACCCTTATAAATATTTTTTGAACGATTGGCAATTTTATGATGTAAATATTCATATTTTAACATTCACATTGGTAAGAATGTAAAATTGGCCCGTGGCCCGTGGGCGGTCCGAAGATCGCCCCCGGGCCGGGGCAGGCCTGGTCTGTTGACAATGTGAATATTCACATTGACATGTTAACATTCACATTGATAGAAGTGTAAAATTGGCCCACGGCCCGTGGGCTGCTCAGGGCGAGCCCGACCCGTTTACAATGTGAATATTCACATTGGCATGTTAACATTAACATTGATAGGAGTGTAAAATTGGCCAACGGTCCGGAGCGGGTTCGACCTGTTGACAATGTGAATATTCACATTGACATGTTAATAATCACATTGATAGGAGTGTAAAATTGGCCCGCGGCCCGGGGCAAGCTTGTTTGGGCCCGGACCCGAGTTCAGCCCGAGAACTTGGGCTAGGACCTGGGCCATTACTTTGAAGCTTGGCCTGCATAAGGCCCATTTAAGGCTCGGCCCGCCAGAGGCTCGGTGTCTTTTTTGTGGAAAATAATAAAATTTTGGGAGAAAAAATTAAAAAGAATTTAAAAAAAAAATGGTGAGGCTCACCCAAGCCCGACCCAAGCCCAAGTCTAGGCCCAAGCGCCTTGGCTCGACCCACCGGGGCACCCAAAGCCTGAATACCTTTATGCTAGGGCTAAGGCCTAGGCCTAATTTTTTGGCTCGTGGGCCAGTCCGGCCCGGCCCGAATTTTGGCAAGCACCCACGACGCTTTACATGGGTTGGCCCCGGCCCGGGTTGGGCCAAGCCCCTACACATTGATGATATGAACATTCACATTGGCAGTGTGAACATTCATATTGACGATGTGAACATTCACATTAGGAGTATTTTGGTAATTATGTCACCCATAGGACTTATTGAAACATAAGAAAATAATGTGGACTAAATGAAACATAAGTAAATAAAAATGGTATTTTGGTTTTCTTACCTCAAATAGGAACATTCACATTGACGGCTTGAACATTCACATTGACGGTGTGAACATTCACATTAGGGGTATTTTGGTAATTATGTCACCCATAGGACTTATTGAAACATAAGAAAATAATGCGGATTAAATAGAACATAAGTAGATGAAAATTGTATTTTGATCTTCTTACCTCAAATAGGGACATTTACATTGACGGTGTGAACATTCACATTAGGGGTATTTTGGTAATTATGTCACCCATAGGATGTGAACATTCACATTAGGGGTATTTTGATAATTATGTCACCCATAGGACTTATTGAAACATAAGAAAATAATGTGGACTAAATGGAAGATAAGTAGATGAAAAGAGTATTTTGGTCTTCTTACCTCAAATAAGAATATTCACATTGACAGTGTGAACATTTACATTGATAGTGTGAACATTCACATTGACGATGTGAACATTCACATTAGGGGTATTTTGGTAATTATGTCACTCATAGGACTTATTGAAACATAAGAAAATAATGTGGACTAAATGGAATATAAGTAGATGAACATGGTATTTTAGTCTTCTTACCTCAAATAGGAGCATTCACATTGACAGTACGAACATTCACATTGACAATGTGAACATTCACATTAGGGGTATTTTGGTAATTATGTCACCCATAGGACTGATTGAAACATAAGAAAATAATGTGGACTAAATGGAACATAAGTAGATGAAAGGGTATTTTTGGTTTTCTTACCTCAAATAGGACCTAATGGAATAGTCAAAAAGAATATAGGTTAGATGGAATAAAACTCTTAGAAAAAGGATTTATCAAAAAAGCTCTCATTATTTTTTATGAAGGTAAAAAAAAATAATGTGATTAAATATTTTGCCTTATGAATCATTTTTGTCTTAATTATTTTAGCTCATTTCAATTGGTTTATTGAATGACCGTGCTTAAGTTTATCTAGTCCAATTATATTTGTTTTATATACAAATTTGAGATGAGATTTGTTAATTTAAGGATTTGAGTTTCCTCCAATCTATAATGTGACTAAATGTGATCGTCTGGGTTTGTGAGGTTAATCATAGTTTTTATTTTGATAATTTAAACCGTTTATTTCATCTGTTCTTCATATATATCATTCAAATAAAATTAAGTTGATTTGATAATTTTAATTTATTTAATTTATTACATTTTTGTCCAAAAAAAAAAATGAACAACAAATGTTTTTTTAAAATAGATAATTTATTTGTTTTGTTGACAAACATGATAAATTTAATAATTTATAATTGTCGATATATTAAAAAAATTATAAAATGAACGATTTAAATAATTAAAATGGAACTTGTGGTGACCCATCGACCCATACAATAGTGAAGCGGAGTTCTCAATTTAATATTTAAGCAATGATAAAAACATTTTTTTTTTGTTGTGAATTTCAAAATACTTATTAATCTTTTTACACCGCCGTTAATCGCAATCTTAACAAACAAAAATATGATCCGTTCTACTACAAAATGAATCACATCTAATATGGAATTCAGATATGCTGTGCCATAGGGCATAGCAGCATACTGTTAGGTTTTATGGAAGCTTGTCATGAGTCTTTTTGATGAGTTAAGCTGCTTAATTTTTTTTAAGATGGTATTAAGTTCCTTAATTTTGGCAGAATAAATCATCAAAATAAAAAATAAGTTGATTAGACATTTTGAACCTTATAGTAAGAGCACATTTAAAAAAATGATTAACATAATTTTAATAATTTATTTCAAATAATTAAAATCTAATTATGAGATTATACCGATTAAGTTAATTTTTTTATGAATAACATGTCCAATAAAATTTACAATATAAACGATTCAAATTATTATTATAAATCCGGAAAAACTCTCCATACGATGCATAGCAGGGCCTCTATGCCTTCCACTTAAAATTTTAGTGCCATACTCCGTTCACTTGGGTGGTGTCATTTTTTCTTTTTCAATTTTCCATTTTCTTTTCTTTTTATAAAACTAAAGGGACCGAGTTAAAAACCAGGGATTTTCTGTATTATTTTTCAATTTGCCAAACTTTTCTATTTTTGAAAAAATTATA